TGTAGCACAGAGAAACTCTGTCTCAAACAAACAAACAACAAATGTATTTTAAAGATGCCTGTTCTCTTCCAGCTGAGTATGATAAAACCCCGAGTGTAAATGTACATTTTTCCCCCCATTCTTCTGTTGAAGGATATCTGGGTTGTTTCCCACTCCTGGCTATTACAAATAGAGCAGGAAATGAACATGGATGAGCAAGTGACCCTGTGGTAGGAGGTATATGCCCAAGAGCGGTACAGCTGAATCTAAAGCTAGATCAATTCCCTTCTTCTGAGGAACCCACCACACTGATTTCCAAAGCGGTTGTACAAGTTTGCACTCCCACCAGCAATGGATAAGTTCCCAGCATGAGACGTCACTTGTTTGTTTATTTTGGTTTTTTGAGACAGTTTCTCTGTATAGCCAAGCTGTACCCCACATCCTTGCTAGCTTGAGCTGTCACTTGTTTTGTTTTTCAAGACAGGATTTCTCTGTGTAGCCCAGGCTGTCTTGGAACCCACTCTGCAAACAGGGTGACCTGTAACTCAGATATCCACCTAGTGTCTTTGGTACAGGCAGGTACTCTGCATGCTACCAAAGGAGACTTAAAGACCAACCCAGCCACAAACCCTTTCATCAACAATAGTGTCCTGCCTGCAGGACATTAGGGCAATGGTGGCACAAAGCTTCTGGGAGCAACCAACCAATATCCGATTTGACTTACGGTCTATTCTATAAGACAGAGCCCATACCCAACAGTGCTTGGTGACCAAGACCCTGTGGCTAGTAATGACATTCTCCTCTACTCAGACACCAGCGCTTTCCTTGCTCAGCCATCATTAGAGAAGAGAGTGTGGACGGGACAAACACAAAGACCAACAGACAGACAGACATGGAGAGTGAGATACTCTGGAACACTCCGCTCTAAATGGGATGTTTCTATCAAATCTGTCCCCTCAGGGCTCAGGGAACACCATGAAGAGGAGGAGAAGTATAAGAGCCAGAGAGGATGGATGACAGGAAGGAAACAAGGCCCTACTGACACGAACAGAGCTTGTATGAACTCAGGAGACCGAGGCTGCTAGCACAGGGCCTCTGTGTGTATTGTCTGTCTTCCAGATGAACATCCCCGGTTCCTGAGTGTGTGAACCAGCGCCTCTGATTCTTGTGCCTTCTCTTGGACTTCTTTCGTTCTGTTTGTCTTGTACAAATCAGATGTGATGGTCTTTATCTTATACTTTGAACTCAAGTCCAGGGTAGTGGCTCATACCTGTAAGATTCACCACTTGGGAAGCTAAAGTAGGAGCACACTATTATAAGTACAAAAGCTTGTCTCAAAAAAAAAAAAAAAAAGCCAAGAAGGAAAACCCCTCATTGCATAGGACCCCAATGAAACGAGCCAGCAAACAACCAACCACAGCCACCATTCAGGAAGGCAGTGAAGACCACAGGCTGGGAGGAAGTAAGGAAACAAACGCCTCACCAAAGACTAGCACACTGATGCTGACACCCAGCACCCCTTCTCCTTGGTGCTAGGGAATTGAACCTGGGGTTTCATACAGGCTAGACAGTGCTTTACCGCAGGGTTACATCCTCATCTCAGTCCTGAATGCCTGAAACCCTAACACTCAGGTGGTAGAGACAGGAAGATCAGATCAAGGTCACTATATAGGCTTGGGTATGTAATGAGTTTGAGGCCAGCATTGACTACATGAAACTCATTTCCTACTTGTCCCCTTCCCTACCAAAAATAAATACAACCCACCTAGAAACGGTAAAATAGAGCTAGGCATGGTAGCACATGCGTGTAACCCTAGGGTTTGGGAAGTTGAGACAGAAGAGTTGTTGTATGCTTGAGACCAGCTAGTTCAGTTTTAATTGACTCACCTGTGGTGACATCTGAGTCATGGAGTATTACCACAAGGAGGAATGATTTCTGGTACACAGCGTATAGGCATTCAAAACTATTATTTTGAGGGAAAGAAGCCAGAAATTGAGGAGTGTAGGAGGGGCCCAGGAGCAATACACTAAGTGTTGTGGGACATTCCTTTACCCTGTGTGAAGATGTGTCCCTGTGAATAGCTTTGTAAAGAGCTGAAAGACCATCAACAAGGCAGGAAGAGGTTAGGACCAGGTGAGACTTCAGAAGGAGAGGTAAAGGCATGAGTCACAGGGCAATACATAGATGAACAGAAATGGCCTAACTTCTAAGAGCTAGTGCGACAATCCTAAGCTCTAGGCTGAACTTTCTAGTCTCCCTGTCATTTTTTATGAGCTGATGAACCACAGAATAATAAGGCTACAAAGTGTCCAGTCAGAATGGGTCCACCGAGGTGCAGAGGGAATCCCTAGGGCCTGTCTTACTCTCTTCCCTCTCACACTGGTACTAACTGGGCAGACCCACTTGAAATGACATTCTTGCAAACATCATCCTCGGGGGCTCTTTGTGTAGTCTAGGGGACTCTGAAACTTGGGATCTCCCCACTCAGTCTCCTTGACAGCCGAGCTTTGCATGTGCTACCACACACGGCTTCTTAGAAGCCTGCAGTCATCAGAGTTACACCTCAGGCATTGGAAAGGACACCCAGAATGGTGCCTACATCATGGTGGTACAGGGGCACAGATCTATCAGGTTCCTCTATGTAATCTGTTGTGAAGACCAGGGCACTCCTTTGTAAAGGCTTCAGTGAGCACTGCATTTACAGGACTTTTTTTGTTTTGTTTTGTTTTTTTGTTTTTATGAGACAGGGTTTCTCTGTATTGTTTTGGAGGCTGTTGGTCCAGCCCAGCCTCCAACTCACAGAGATCCACCTGCCTCTGCCTCCCAAGTGCTGGGATTAAAAGCGTGCGCCACCACCGCCCAGCTTACAGGACTTTTATATTTACTTCTTAGTTTAAGCAGTATGAATTGGAAAGCTCCAAAGTCACCAACGTGAGGCTGCGAAGACTCCATCTCTTCTGACGAGGCCACTAGGCATATGGCTTGCCTCCATAGGTAGTTATCTGATAGGCAGGCAGCGCCAAGTGTCAGATGAATTCTTTGAGTGTCTAAACTTGACCTCCTGATCCTGCTCAGACCCCAGAGCCATTTAATGAGGGCTGTGAGTGGCTTCCACATGGCACTTCAGGTCCATGCTCCACACAATGCAGCAGCACCCGCCTCTACCTGTTTTCATAGCCAAAGATGTCTTTATCTTCAGGGTACAAGGTGTGAGACTCACCTGTGAGTGCCTTGGAGGAAAACCAAGGCAGACATTAGAAATCAGTCCGAGGCAAAGGTGCCGAGCGTAGTGAGCCCTCTCCCCGCTTCAAGTCAACTCTGTCTCCCGGCACATCTGGCAGAATCTGGAGACTTGATGGTCATGGCAGATAGGGCTGGCCTTTGATGGGTGAGGGACAGACACCCTCTTTTATACATGCTATGCAAACACTCCCATGGAGCCACATCCCTAGCTCACAATTGCTCTTAAAGATGAGGAAGGGACTCTGGATAAGTCACAGCTCCAGGTTGATAATCCTTGATCTTTTTTTCCCGATGATCTAAATGTCACATGTCCAAAGGAGGAGGAGGCTGAGAGATGGTTGAGCAGCTAAGAGCACTGACTGCTCTTGCAGTTTAATTTCCAGCTGCCACATGGCCACTCACACCTGTCTATAACTCCAAGATCTGTCACTCTCTCTCTCTCTCTCTCTCTCTCTCTCTCTCTCTCTCTCTCTCTCTCTCTCTCTCTCTCTCTCACACACACACACACACGCAGGGAAACACCAATGCAAATAGAAATGATGATGATAAAAACAATAAAGGTAGAGTTTGTTCTTGAGGGGTACATGTCTCCATACTCCGCAGGGTGTCACCAGTTTTCTCCCAGAGTCCTGTTGTTTATTCTAGCTTTGTGGCTCTATTAGGGTGACCCACATACAGACAGCCTCCTAGAGACTGAATGGACTACCACATACTGAAGATATCCAAAGGGAAGTCTTCCTTAAATTCATGGCCTTTTCCCCTGTGTTCCTTAATATATAATACAACCTGCTCCTTCTGAGACAGGGTTTCTCTGTGGCTTTGGAGGCTGTCCTGGAAGTAACTCTTGTAGACCAGGTTGGTCTTGAACTCACAGAGATCTGCTTGCCTCTGCCTCCTGAGTGCAGGGACTAAAGGTGTGCGCCACCACCGCCAGCCTGCTTGTTCTTTAAGTTACCATTTGGTGTTAGATAGCTAATTAATGTACTTCCCCGGGGAAGACTTTCTCTTGCTCTCAGCTCCCCCCCCCTTTTTTTTTTGGGTGTTTTCATGACAGGGTTTCCCTATAGTTTTGGAGGCTGTCCTAGAACTCAACTGGTAGATCTGCCTGCCTCTGCCTCCTGAGTGCTGGGACTGAAGGAACGCGCCACAATGCCCAACTGCTCTCAGCATTTCTTAGTTGCCTGTACTCTCTCTCTCTCTCTCTCTCTCTCTCTCTCTCTCTCTCTCTCTCTCTCTCTCTCTCTCTCTCTCTCTCTCTGTCTCTCTCTCTCTCTGTCTCTCTCTCACACACACACACACAAATAATAAAACATCATATATGTTCTAAAACGAAAACCAACCCGGGCACAGTGGTGTGCACCTTTAATCCCAGCACTCGGAGGCAGAGACAGGTGGATCTCTGTGAGCTCAAAGCCAGTCTAGTCTACACAGTGAATCCCAGGACAATCAGAGTTACCTAATGAGACTCTGTTTCAGAAAAAAAACAACAACAACAACCTCCACCCCCCCCAAAATAAACACATCAAAACCAAGCAAACAGAAAACTAACCCCATTTAAAAAAAATCAAAACAAACAAAACCACCTAAGTCCCTGACAGAATGGAATGGCAGGTTAGGCTCATCTATTGTCTATGGTGGAGTTCTCCACTTTTGTACAAGAAAAAGGAAGAGATTAGCAGTGTAGAAAAGTTCCTGTAAGTGACAGTTTCTTACAGCTCCCCTGAACAATTTAAATGAAGACTGCCCCCCTTAAAAAAAAGGCGACAGCAACACAAACTTGACTGGCGCCACCTTTTTAATAGGTCAGAGTAACTGTACAATTCATTATATTCTTCCTGAGAATAATTTATATCCCTCAACAAACTAAAGGGAAGGTATGCTTTCAACATCATCTAACAGACGCATGGTGTGGCGACAACTGGACATCTAAAGAGAACCACATCCCTGTGTGTCCTGTGGGTCCTCCCTTGGAAGACAGACGCAATGAACATCAGTTAGCTCTAGTGGCTGTAAGAGTCAACATGGCTTTAATTCTTATAAATTATATAAAAATGGAGAACAGGGATGGTTCCGGAACTTCTTGATGCAGCTGGGAGTGCTCTGGTACAAAGCATTTCTGCTCCCAAGAAAAATTACATTGCTACAAAAAACTGGCACAGAATTCTGGTGAGGAAAGATAAGAGTTTTTGTCAGTTCTACAGAGAGTTTACAACTCAATGCTTCAGTATCCACTGCAAAGAAAAAGGTGGACACAGGGAGGGCGGAAGCTTTTTTCTGAAAACTCTCAGTCTTCAAAATACAGTTTTTATGCACTTTCTCTGCAAGCGAGATTAGCATATTGTAAGCCAGCCTGAACAGGAACTCTGGCAGGAGGATGGCCAACCTCGGGTTCTTGGGGAACCCTCCCTCTTCAGACATTCCTCTTCCACCTCGAAGCCACGATCAGTAGGAATTACCACTTCTAAGAGCACACATCCCAATTCCAACACCAAGTGTATTTTAAAAGCTTCTTAATGTACAATCTTCATTTCAGAAAAATGCCACATTTTGGATCCAGATGTTTCTGAACATTATTTAGAAAAATAACAAAATCAAAACCACACATTAGTGGTTAAACTTATACAAGAGAGACTTTCAGCTAGCTGTCATTCAGTTGGAGTTGTGAGTACAGGCGTCCGAGGAGGACATGGTATTGTTACTTCCTCGCTGCTGGTGGAATGCTAGAAAAGATCTCCCAAAGAGCAGAAAGCCGTGTTCAATGGCCAGTGGCTCAATGTGGCCGTGTCTGCCCTAGCATCTTCAGTCTTGCCTGATCAATGACATCAAGGAGATTCTTGGCGTCCACAGCCAGGGCATGAGCAGCTGTCAGCATCTGCTTCTTGTACTCCTGCTGCAGACTGGTCATGACGTACTGCTGAGCCAGCTTCATCTTGCTGATGAGCTCACCCAAGTCAGAGTTCAGAAGCTTCTGCGCCATCTCGATCTGGGAAGACAAGAGAGGGTCAGGAGTACAGCTTCCAGGCATCTGTCCTGAGTCTGTCTTTGGGCCTCCAAGACAAAATAAAACTTTATTTCCCTTGAATAACTTTCCTTTCCTTTGAAGCAACAGGCAGGAGTATCTCTGTGAGTTCCAGGCCAGCTTGGTCTATATAGCAAATTCCAGGCCTGTCAGGGTACACAGTGAAGGGAAAAAAAGAAGTTAAGATTTCAACAGGGTGTGAAATATGTCTACTTTGGAATTTCAGTGACTGTGGTGTGGCCTCATGTGCCTGTGTGACTTCAAATATGAACTAGCCGCCTTTCCATTTTCTGCCCTCATACCACATGACTGTACTCTGAGCTTGCTGTCTGAACTCTAACTTCAGTGTGTGGTAGACCCTGCTTCATTTTAGTCACAGAATCTGACAGAAGTTGAGATGCTCTAGTCCAAACTAGCACACTCTAATACAAACACCTTAATATCAAGTGACGATGAGGGCCACACAGGGTAAGGATCAAGGCCATGTTTTCTTACGATGCTGTCTCTTTCCAGGTATTTTCCTGGTTTTCTTTTTCTTTTTCTTTCTTTCTTTCTTTTTTTTTTGTTTTTGTTTTACGAGACAGGGTTTCTCTGTATTATTTTGGAGGTTGTCGGTCCAGCCCGGCCTCGAACTCACAGAGATCCGCCTGCCTCTGCCTCCCGAGTGTTGGGATTAAAGGGTCTTCGGCAAGAGTGTCAATTGCTCTAAACCACAGAACTGTCTTTCCAGGCTTTCCATATCTTGTCCTAGCAGTCTAACTATAGGCTTCCTATACCTACTGCTTCCTATTGCCAGAGTCAGGGGACGTCTGAACCCACACTCTGTTGGGCTAGGCTGGGCTGTGGAGCACGTGCTGCCCTGCAGGGCTCATAAGGCTTTGCTAATTGTTTGAGACAGGGCCTCTTTATGTCATCCTAGCTGTCCTGGAATTGGATATGAAGTCTGGCTAGCCTCAAGCTCACAGATTCACCTGTAAAGGTATGCACCACCACACCCAGTCTTCCTGCTTATTTAACGAATGGTAACTAGAACTGAGACACCTGCTCTTTTGACCATCACAGGGTAACGACCACTTTGGGCTGTGGATAAAGGAGGGAATTAGACCTGGTAGGAGAGGCTGGCAAGGAGATCCTGAAACTCAATGGATAAAGACCACAATACGCAGCACACAGAGAGCTAGTCCTCTGCCTCAGAAAGACCTTACAGAGAACAGCTGGATTTGGACTAGACTGCATAAGTAGACAGGTTTCAACTACAAGGACTATGCCAAGGTGACCTTTACTGGGACAGCGCTGTGAGAATGACATGACCTAGAGTTGACACATGTGTGCTAAGCAACACACAACCAAATGGAGGGTTGCCTACTCCACCCTCTTCATTGGGCTCTGAGTGGTTTCCTATGACAAGATGGGGCATGGAGGATGGATGCCACTGCTTGGGGAAGGAAAGGGGGAAGAGCATAGAATCCTTTAGCCTGGGTTACTAAAAAATGCTAATGTCAGCTGGGTACAGTAGTGCACATCTGTAACCCTGGGGAGGATGGGGAGGAGGGTTTCAAGTTCAAGTTCCAACACAACTTAGACCATACATAGTGAGGATCTGACGCAAACAGCTCTCCTATGCTAATGAGATTATGGATGTAGCTTCTGACATTCCTAGGAGATAGTCTCAACAGCAAATTCCTTGTTCTCTGGCTCTTAGTGCTGCCTATACAGGAGCTGAACAAGGATAACACAAATAGATGTGCTAATGTGGATGGGTGAGAGCCCATGAGGCCTCATCCCTACATGAGTAACTACAGGCAACTAAGGAATGCTGAGAGCGGGACAGTCTTCCCCAGAAAAGGACAGACCCCGTGGCTACTCAGTACCAGCTGGTCAGCCTTGAACACATACATGCAAGTAGACTGAACAGGTTACATTTAGGTATTTAGACGGATGGACGGACACACACACACACACACACACACACACACACACACACACACACAGAGAGTTCACCAACAACAAAGAAAAAATGACACGAAAAAAGTTTTCCAAACTCCAAAATTTGATGCCACACAAGAGAAAGAGAAAGCAGCAAACATCTTCCAAATGAGCAGAAGTCAAGTAGAGATGGGTAGACAGGACCATTCAAAACACACAACCCGCCGGGCGTTGGTGGGTATGCAGTAGGCCATCCCTAGCATCAGGAAAGAGCCACAGGTGTTTATGGTTAAGTGTGCTCAAGCAAGTGGACGGCCCGAGAGAGAATGCAAGCTTTTGTAAGTCTGAAAACCGTTTCAAAGTGAAGAGCAAGGAGATGGATGGAGACAAGGGTTAGCAATTAACAGCACTAAGGGCTCTTCCAGAGTCCCAGGGGCACTCACATGGTAGCTCACAGCCATCCCTAACTTCTGGGAGATCTATCACTCTCTTCTGGCCTCCAAGGGGACTGCCCACAAGCAGAAAAACATCATACAACATAAAATCTTTTTTTTTTAGTTAAAGAAAAATGAAAAACCCAACCAAACAAAAACTCCAGGCAGGATAGGCTGAAGGACAGTTCATGGTATCCTAGAAAAGAGGAAAGGGAAGAGCCAGGTGGTGGTGGTACATGCCTTTACTCCTAGCACTTGGGAGGCAGAGGCAGCCTGTTCTATAGAGTGAATTCCAGGATAACCAGGGCAACATGGTGAAACTCTGTTTTGAAAAACCAAAACGGGGAGAAAAAGAAAGAAAGAGGAAAGGGACCAGTGGAGGAGGGTTGTGACACTTTTCATTTAGAAGTCATACAAACGAGACAAAACTACTGCATGGCAGCCAAGGATGGGCCTGGTGGCAGTTACTTGTCATCTAGCACTCTGGCCCCTGGAGCAGGAAAGATGTCTCAGTGTGTACCCATCCTGGACTACATGTGACTGTTGTAGGGAACCGTGTCTGGGTGAGTTTGAGGTCCTTAAAGCAACTGGAGACACACATTAAGAGAACCTTCGTAACTCTTGCACAGGGAATACCTACACCATATCCAGGGCGTGTTTTGTCTGAAGACTTGCTCTCTTTCTTTCCTTCCAGACTATCATCTGATGTCCCTTCATGCCATACTGCCATTCTACAGTACAGACACAATGGAGCCTGGTGCTCACAGGTTGAAATCTCTGAAACTTAAGTCGTTTATCTTGGGCACTTTGCTGACTAAGCCAGCATTGCAACTGTCTAGCACAACTCCACCCACCATTGTGGCCTACCTCTCGATGTGTGCTGGCTGGGAGGGCTGGAATGGTCTCATCCACAGTGGCTAGTAAGGTCCGTAGGGCCAGGCCAACTTCCTAAGACAAGAACGGAATAAGGATTAGGACACATGAAGATGTCAGGACAACACTGCTATTTTCTCTGGGGCATGTACATTGCTGTTTTCCTTTCTGACAGTTATAAGGAAAATTTTATTTTAGACAGGGTATCACACTGTAGCCAACACTGGCCTAAACTCTCTGTAATTTTCTTCCTTCAGCCTCTCAAATACTGAGCCACCACACACAGGTCATCATATATAAGGAACACATAAGTCTGTGTCTGCTTTGACTATCATTGGCTCTCATGTCCAGGACAGATAATTACATTGAAGCTCCCACAGATGCTGTGGAATATTATCTTAAGGTGTGTTACATTTGTTTATGTTGTGGAACATTTGTTTTAATGATGTAAAGTTGTATTGCATTCTTTTTATGCTGCATTTATTTAACTCTGTGAAGCTGTGGTTCTTTGCCTGTCTAAAACACCTGATGATCTAATAAAGAGCTGAATGGTCAATATTGAGGCAGGATAAGGATGGGCAGGGCTGGCAGGTAGAATAAATAGGAAAGAGCAACTCAAAGCAAGGGGAGGAGGTGTGTGTGTGTGTGGGGGGCGGTGGCCACCCAGCCAGCCACAGAGTAAGAGTGAAAGTAAGATTACAGAAGGAAGGAGGGAGGGAGAGGAAGTGGAGAGTGGGAAAAGACCTGAAGATCTAGTATGTCCCAACAAACAATGAGCCAGGCACGATGGCTCACACTTACACTCCCATAAGGCCAGCACTTGGGAGGGTAATAAGAATCCATGAAGTTCACGCCCAACCAGAATGGGTTATATAGTGAAACACTATCAAGAACCCAGTCTCTTGCCTCTTGCTCTGGAGTGCTAGGATAGCAGATGCATGACGCCATGCTGTTTATAGGGCACTAGGGATGGAACCAATATCTTTGTGCATGCTAGGCCAAGTACCAGAGCTACATTTCCAGCCTTTTGCGTGTGTGTGTGTGTGGGGGGGCTGGGTGGTGACGGACGGACAGACAGAGAGTTTTCTCTGTGTAGCCCCGGCTATCTTGAAACTCACTCTGCAGACCAGGTTGGCCTCAAACTCAGAGATCTGCCCCTCTCTGCTTCCCAAGTGATGGGATTTAAAGCATGTGCCACTACTGCCTGGCCAAAGCCCTTTTCTTTATAGGAGGAAGGGTCTCACTATGTAGCCCAGGCTATTCTGCTACTTCAGTCTTCAGAGCTGAGATTATGGGTGAGTCACAGTACCAATGTAAGATCAAAAATTTATACCGAGTCTCTAGCATTGATATTCTTTTTGCAAACAACTTTTGTTTTATGCATATGTATCTGTGTGTGTCATCTGAACATATTGCCGTGTGTGCATGTGTGTGCGTGTGTGTGTGTGTGTGCGCGCGCGCGGTGTGCCTGTGCCTGCCTATGTAGGTCAAAAGAGGGCATTGGATACCCTGGAGCCAGAGTTACAGGTGGTTGTGATGGGTCACGTGGGTGATGGGAACTGAGCTTGGATCTTCTGCTAAAGCAACAGTGCTATTTTATTTTTTAGTGTGTATGTTTTGCCTGTGTACCATGTGAATGGCTAAGCCAGAAGATGGCAAAAAGGGGCATTGGATCTCCTGAAGCTGGCCTCAAACTCGCAGAGACCAACCTGTCTCTGCCTCCCATGTGCTGGGACTAAACGTGTGCGCCACAGCCTGGCTTACTGTCACTCTTATGAGGGCCAAATACACAGGGACTAAAACATCAAATTATAAATATGAATACAACAAAAATTAGCCAACAAAGTGAGAAATGGCATTTATGCTTGGACCAGAAGACAAAAGGGCAAGTTTCTGCTGGCTATCTTAGTCTGAGGCCTGACCTGCTGACATTAGAGACGCTCTAAGAAGTTACTAAACAGGCCGAGCATGGTGGCGCACGCCTTTAATTCCAGCACTCGGGAGGCAGAGGCAGGTGGATCTCTGTGAGTGTGAGACCAGCCTGGTCTATAAGAGCTAGTTCCAGTACAGACTCCAAAGCAATACAGAGAAACCCTGTCTCAAAAAAAAAAAAACAAACCAAACAGAAGTTACTATACAGTTTTGTCCTGCCAGGGATCTTATGGGCACACACTAAGAGACAGCAGTGCCACTACACAAGAAGCACCCGTCACTGAAGCACACACAGTGCCAAGGGCATCTGTACCCTACTGAGGGATGAAAGGTGTATCCCACCACTGCCCTGTTTGAAACATACTTGAATATATGTATTAAGCTTTTTTAAAATTTTATTTTATAGGTGATCTTACTGCATATTTGTCTGTGTACCACATCTACAGTGCCCTTGGAGGTCAGAAGAGGGTATTGAACCCCTCGAATTGAGTTACACATGGTTGTGACCCACCATTTGGGTGCTATGAATTGGACCTGGGCCCTGTAAAAGAGCACCCAGTGCTCTGAACTGCTGAGCCACATACATAGTGCTTTACTTCTCAAGCTTGGCTGCAAGTTCACATAAGAACTCTGGCCAGGCCTTTTAAGGGAGCACAGTGTATTAAGTGCAGTGTATCTCTTTATCAGCTTTGCCTCCACCTAGAACTGAGATTGTGTTCAATCCCACAGCTCCCCCCAAAACAACAAAAAAGCCCAACCATTGTGTGTGCATCTGTATGAATGCATGTATGTACGCATACACATTCAAGGCACAGGCAAAAAGTGAGCTTTCTCTAAATAAATTTATCTAAATAACCAAAAAGCACATGGAAAGATGTTCGTTTGCTTTTGTTGTGCAAATTAAAACCACAGTGGGACAGGACCTCATAAAGTAGGATAACCAAGTCAACAACATCAATCAAACCACGTAACACAGAAATGGCACCCTGGAGCACTACAGCAGGAAAGTAAAATGGTACAATTGCTGTGGGAAGGCTGGCTCAGGTAGTAAAGTGCTTGCCTTGAAAGCATCCCATCTCCAACATCAAGCTTAACTAAAGCTGTGCTTGTAATGAGTGCTGGGAACACAGAGGAAAGGTCTCACTGGACAGCTAGCCTGGTCTGTTCTGTGAACTTCAGGCCCATGATGGATGGCTTCTGAGGAGTAACACCTGACAAATACATACTTTCTCCTTTCCTGGTTCCAGTATCACTGTACACCACCTGGGAAATTATTACTGTCCTACTCACCTTTGTTTCCTTTTTCCCCCTCTCACAACAGGGTTTTTCTGTGTAGTTCTGTTGTCCTGGAAAGGTGTCGGCCACCATGCCTGTCTTCCTTATTTTTTTTTTTTTTTTTTTTGAGAAGAGGCTTTACATTGCCTGGTCTAGAATTCCTCAGCCTTTTGACTAGATGGGACCACTCAGGACAGGCTTATTATTATTATTATTATTTTTACTCACATAGGAGCAGAGCTAATAGATTGGGTAGTAAGTACTTGATTTACAAGTAAAAGGACTTGAATTTAATCCCAGGACATACTAAAAACAAGGTGGAGGCACCTGAACATGACAGCTGAAGATGTCCCCTGGCTTTCATGCACCAGCACATAAAGCACTTGAGCGTCCCTTCCCACTTCTGCCTCTCCCTCAGCAGGAAGTCTGAACTGAAGCACTGCCAACACTGCTTCCTTCAGCTGTATACTTAACAGTAACTTTTCATAACATTCCACACAACCTATGTTCTTCAGATTTTTTTGTCCACTCCACTAAATTTAAAAGCATCAGTAATCAGATGATTCTACCAACTCAGGGGGTATTCCCTGCCAAGTATTTGCTAACAGGAGCAGTGAGAGCTACAATTTTTAAGGATGTTTCTCAGTGACACCAGCACCATCTAGTGGTCCTTTACACCCAAAGCATCAGCTCTGGCTTCCCTGGGAAAGGAGTGACTGCATTTTACCTTCACCATAGGGACATACTCTTCCGGAGGAGCTGGCTGGATTTTGCTGGACATCTCGATGACAGCTTTCACTAGGCCCGTCACGTTCTCATACACCTTGTCATTGGACCGGTCCAGGTTGGCAGTGGGAGGGGGGCTGATTTCCTGGGGCTGAAGCTGATAACACAGAAGCTGGTCATTTCCTGCTCCCCAGAAGATAGTGAGGTATCACCACAATTAAGTTAGAGGGTCTTTAAAAGAGATCAAAGCAGATGCAGAAGGTAATGAATTTTCTTGTTTGTTCAGGACATAGTTCAGTCTGATGACAGTAAAGCAAGTCATCCAAGGGACAACACACAAGGCAGTTATGTCCTCCAACTTTGAGCTCAGTTAAAGGAAATGAGATGGAATCACATACACTAAAGTCTCCAGATTCAAAGTGGCAATTAAGTACCGCAGACTCCCAACCAAGTATTTCACAAGGGAAACGACCCACATAATTTTTTTTAAAGATTTATTTATTATGTATATAGTGTCTGTCTGCATGTATCCCTGCAGGTCAGAAGAGGGCACCAGATCTTATTACAGATGGCTGTGAGCTATCATATGGTAGCCGGGAATTGAACTCGGGACCTCTGGAAGAGCAGTTAGTTTTCTTAACCACTAAACCATCCCTCTAGTCCAACCCACAGAATTTATAACCAAGGAGTTACTGGTTATACATCAGTATATACATCACTAAATGTTCAAACACTTAGCACCAACACTGGCTTGGCTTTAAGTTCTACTCATCTTTGCTGCCTTTACAGACTAACAAAGTACTCTTTTCATGTGACAAATGAGGACTCACATTCATTTGCTTTAGGCAAACACCAGCTGCTTACATAAAGCTACTCATATTCAAGTAGCAGAGAAGGGACTCCCTGCCAGTCCTATGCTGATTGTTGGGTAAACTAAGGACAGCAGGACTCAACTCCTCGAGTAGTAACAAGGATAAGCATATTAAACCATAGGTTGTAAACATGACACAGGACCTGGGCACAGAGATGCCACAGATATTACCTATGATAGCCTACGGGCTGAGGGCAAAATGACATGGGGCCCATAGGAAAGGCTGAATAGTGCTTCAAAATTTTAGAAAGACTAAATTGTATAACATCTATCCAATTATGGGTCTGCTAGGACCTTGGCAAGGCACATTGGAGCAGACAGTTACATCTGAGTTCACTGCAAAGCTGGTCATGTACCAGTCTCCGAAAAATATGAAAGCTCTTTTTAGCATCTGCCTGTCATGAGAGGTGACAAATCAAATGTGCCCTCCCACAGGGACATCCACATGCCTGTCCAGAGTCACATGCAGAAAGTTAGGTTGTGATAAAGCGATCCAGACAGACACACAGATATGATGTGCTTACCCTCCACGGCTATTGTCGAACAGAAGGTGAGGAAAAGTTAAAGGAATTTATCAGAGAAAGGGAAAAAAGAAAAACAATATTAATAAGGCAGCAGAAAACTCCCACATAACATATGAGCAGAACCCCTGGGTACTAGCTACAAGCCTGAAGGCTACTCTCTGCTCACTGGCTGTCAGAAGTGCCTGTGCCTGCCCTCAGCTCTTTGCATAGCACAGTACTAGAGCGCTGCCATGCAACACTCATTCCCACGAGATAAATGACCAGCATGCAAAAGCCTGTGAGTGGCAATGGGTAGCCGTGCAAGAGTCTAGAAAGCAAGCTCTTTGTGAGCAAGGAGAAAGGCATGTGTAATCAGTGGTCTACCGTCTGACTTACAGGAGACTGGGGAGAAACCATCCCATCCTCAGTCACTGCACATGATCTCTCAGCCTTCAAGTCCTTCATGTTTAATATAGACTTAAAGGTAGGGGCTGTATCTATTTCAGAAGCTTATCTTTAACTCTTTACCACACATTTGTTTTTGTAGTTATGTTTTGTGTGTATGAGTTTTAAAATCTTTTAAAGGCAGTATTTCATTATGTAGCCTAGGCTAGTCTCAAATTCTCAATCCACTTGCCTCCGTATATCAAAATGCTTGGATTATTGGTGTAAATCAGGCTGGCATTTTTGTTCTGTAAACTGGTGGCTTTGATGTTTTGCCTCCTCAATTCAATCCCTAGCTATCTTACTGTGAACAGACTGGCATGGGAAATGCAACAGCCTGCCACCTATGGGCTGGTCTAAAAGTCACCATCTCACCATAAGCCTCACAGAGACTTCAGTTCAGAGGTGTAAACACCCAGAGGTTTCCTGGGCACTGAGGATCACAGTGTAGTTAGTTATCTGACTCTCTATGCTAGCACAGGAAGGTGCATGGGTTTCCTGGAGGGTACCTAAAGACTATTACTATTAAGATTTAAAATGACTGTTAAGTCCCAGCAGGCCAATGGGAACTTAGTTTAAGGTGCTTAAAGTTTCTTCTCCTGAATGACACCCTTTGTGTCATAGGAAAGCACTGCCATCATGTCTCTAGAACCCTTCATAGTAGGAGACCAGAAGTCATAGCTTGGCTGGAGAAACATCTGTTACAGATTTTTATTGTCCAGGTGTTTTTGTTTTTGTTTTTTTGTGGGGATGTCTTTTGAAACAGCGTTTCTGTGTAACAGTCCTAGGTGTCCTGGAACTCACTGTGTAGACTAGGCTGACCTCACAGGTTTGCCTGACTCTGGAGCGCTGGGACTAAAGATGTGAGCCACCATTACCCAGCCATACAGAGTTTTGCTAACTTGGAAACTCCTGGGTTGACAGAAAAACAAAACAAAACAAAACACAACACCACTACCACCCATTAGAGATAGTCAATTCCTACTCTGCTTAAAATCCAGAGAAAGAAAAAATAGGACATGTGAGCTTAGTGGTGAATTGACTGCCTAGCATGAGTACTAGGAAACAACAGAACTACAAAAAGAAAGCCCTACAAAGAAAACTGGAGACTATTTTTGGCTAAATGTTATTTGTGTGAATTATTTGAGTTATAAGTAGCTGAAGGCAAACTTTTTCTTATCAAACTATTGCTTAAAAACAATAAAAAAGCTCAATATTGTTCCTTTAGGATGGGTTTAACTACCTGTACTTAGCAAATAATGAAAAAAGATCTTCATCTAAACGAAGTGAGTCCATTTCTTCCTTTTCCCCCCCCCCTTTTGAGACAAGGTTTCTCTGTGTAGTCTTGGCTGTCCTGGAACTCACTTTGTAGACCAGGGTGGCCTTGAACTCAAGGATTCACCTGCCTCTGCCTCCCAATGCTGGGATTAAAGATATGTGCCACCACTGCCTGGCAAAGTAAGTCTATTTCTATCACAAGGTTTCTCCGTACACAACACCCTACATTAAGGGCATTATTAGATATACTTCATCATGATATTACTCTCATCATGAACTATAGAATAAGATAAAGACCAGCTATTCATTATACAAGACAGTTCAAAGATCTGCTCTAGTCTGCTGTTGAAAATGCAAACAGTTCATTGCTCTAACTTCTCCTTTCTCATTTAGATTTAAAGACACACTATTGGGAAGATTTGTGCATTTGCCTATTTCTTCTTCAAGAAGATTCAGTATTGCTGATAGCTGCTGAGAAGTTGCCTGGTTTCATGGAGCTGACAACAGCTAGCAGGTGTTCTAGGACTGATTCCCTTAGCAGGGGTACCCTAGTCCAACAGTGTTTACTCAATATAACTGCATGAGTATGCTAATCTATATCACAGTAAATACATGGGAATGGACATGGCAATGGTGTCCTCAGAGCCACAGACCAACCTGGCCTGAGCATGGTGAAGATGTGTCCTCTTGACTCTCACTCTGAGACGACATCACATCACTCTGGTCACTATCACTGTGCAGTCCATGGTTCAGTGGCATGGTGGTCCAATCATTGGCTCTGAGTGACCTTGAATAAACTGTTTCACTTCTGAGAACCATGGCTATCTAGTATGAAAATGTGACACTACCAACCCCGTGAGACTGATGGCAAGGATCAAACAATAGCAAAGTGTCGTTGCAGCCAGTGGCACTAAACACTCACTTTTCATAGCCCAGGCTGACTTTGAATACAACCTTCTTGATTTGTTTCCCGAGTGCTGGGATCACAGGAACATGCCACCACCTGAATGACGGATCATTTTGTATGTCTGCATGACTTCGTGCACATGCATGGAGGCCAGAGGTCAACCTCAGCTATTGCTCCTCAGTTGATACTCATCTGTTTTCATTTTTACTATTTTGAGGCAGGTCTCATTTTATAGCGCTGGTTGTCCTGGAACTCACTTTGTACCTTAGTAGATTTGCTGCCTCTAAATCTAGAGTACTAGAATAAAGGCTTGCAACATCATGCCCATCTATCTTGTTTTTATTTTTTTCAGACAGTGTCTCTTATTGGGACCTGAGGTTCACTGATTGTGCTAGGGTAGATGGCCAGTGAGACCTAAATGTCTGTCTCCGTTCCCCAGTACTAAGATTTTGAGCATATGCAGCATGCCTAATATGATTAGGTGGCAAGTACCTCACCAACTAACCCATTCCTCAGTACCTCATTAAAAAAGCAAGCATGCAAACAAACAAACATGAAACCCAAAACAAAAACCTAAACCACTAAGGAACAAATCCCACCCCTATTTTAGAGCTATTAAAATGCAAAACAATGTGTATCAGACTGACACAGGGAGAGGGAGTGTGTCACGAAGTGGGAAATGAAGAGGTTCTCCCTGAAGTGCTGGACTAGAAGACAGGGGTGAAGGTTGCAGGGTGGGCACTTCCTTCCTGTCCTCAGAGGACAAAGGGAACCAGAAGAGCCAGACAGTGATGTTTGTGACACGACTCTAGAAAGGGAGACTAAGGAGTCCCTCCAAGAGTAAGCTTGCAAGTGTGCCTGAGTCAAACGCTGCCCTTGGTTTGAGAAAGGCTGTAGCAGTCCTTTTATAAGCACAGAAATGGAAAATAGCTTTCCACAAAGCTGTTTTTATAATTACAACAGTGAGCACCCACTTATCCCGGGCATCCTGGCTTCATGTTTAAAACAAGGATATCTGTCTCATTTGCTCCCATCTGGGAGGGGATGCTGGTATAAAGTCCTTTGAGTCTAGCATGCTTAGAGAACAACAGCAAAGAGTTCAGTTAATACTTTTCTGAAGCTTCAGAGGTTCAGAACAAGGGATGCTAAATCCTGAGTATTCTTACGGTCTCCTTGTCAACATCTCTGACCACTACAGCATGTCATATGCTGAGGACTCAGTGACCCCACCAACCTGGAACAGACTATGCTGCAAAAGCTTAGATGCCCACCTTGACACCCTCATTGTAGCTGTCTGCAGGGTTGCTGATGGTTGCCAGGTTGCTTAGGTGACCAGGTGCTCCAGGGCGGGGTGGTTTCTTTGGTGGAGCTGCAGGGTCTGGGAAAGCAAAAGGGTTATCATTACACATTATTGAGCAGACTTCCAAGTACCCCAACCTCATTACTACTAGCACTGCTACAGGAGGCTCATGTTCTAAGAGGGGTCTCTGATGATTTATGTCAGCATGTCCAGCTTCCCAGGACTCTAGGTGCAGACCTAATGTGGTGATTACTACACTGGGTGCGGAGGAAGACTGTGAGCATTACAGAACATTCCACTTAAATCCCACTCCTGCCAAACCACATGTACTTTCTCACACACTATGTGTTTCTTCACCTACCTGTTTTCCCCACAGGCTGATAGATGTGCTGATTTCCAGTCTGTAGAGAAGAAAAGTTTGGTCAGTGTATTGCTATGTGCCAGATGTAACAGCCCACTTCTTTTTCCCTGTTCTTCTTCACCTTGAACTCTCTGTTGGAGTCTCAAGATACCTGACACATTTGGGATACTCTCAGATTGAGCACAGTGGTCTCAAGTTTTCATTGTTCATCAATAAAGTTCTAAAATTCCAGGCCTTCCTTGTGTGTGTTCATCTTGCTGGATGCTTAGGATTTCCACTTCTCTGTCTGATCACTCAGATTTCAGTAAGTATATAGTCAGAACAATTATAGTAGGAGAAGACCTGGTTGTAATAGTTGTTATATGTCCCAGAGGTACCCAGTGTCACTGACTCTAAGACACTGTGCTGCCAGGACCCAGTGTTATCTACACCATTGCACAGGCCTTGTCAGGAAACCCAATTCTCAGACAGTCCTGAATCTTTTTATTCACTGATGGATAAAAGGACAGTTCTACCTATGACAAGTCTTTCTCCAGCTGTACCGTCTAACTGTATAAACGTATACTTCTATCTGATGATGGCAGGATCTTTCTATGTAGTCTAGGCTGGTTTTAAACTTGACCCTCCTGTCTCTACCTTCCAAGACCTGGGATAACAGGTAAATGTTACCACATCTAACTTCTGAAACCACACCTGGATTAATGCCTGCTAGGATGTGTGAGTGTCTGGGTTGAATGCCCACCACTGGAGAACAGCAAAACTATACCGAAGTCTGACTAAATGTGATGAGGCTCTTATTAGGTTATATACACACACACACACATATACACCCACACATACATATATACATACATGCATACTGCTTTATTTTCAACTAGAATAAGCACTTCTTTAAAATATCAGAGTCATAGAGAAGCACACACAATTAAAACTATTTCATGGCTAGGAATGCAGCTCAGTTGGTTGCCTACATCCTCAGTACCATATCAATCATGGTCACACAAGCCTATAATCCTAGCATTTGGCAGGTGGATGAACAGGATCAGAAATTTAAGGTCATCCTTGGTTATACAGCAAGTCTGAGGCAAATGCAGGATAGCCTAGAGACACACCCTCTCAAAAAAAAAAAAAGATGAAGATGAAACACAAGACCATTCCTACCCAATACTGGGGATGGTCAAGCCTTGTTGAAGAAGTACATCATGTGTTGCAGTGTGGGACACCTGGTAGAGGGAACAGGGGCTGTCTCTGACTGCTGCCTACTCTGGGTTGCCTCAGCCAGCCTTAATAGGAGAGGAGGTGCCCAGTCTCACTGCAACTTGGTATGTCATGGCCGGCTGATATACATGGGAGGCCTGCATTGTTTTGAAGGGAAGGGAGATTGAGTGGATGGGGTTGGGGTGGGCAGAGGGACTGGGAGGAGAGGAGAGAGGGAAACTGATTGAGCTGGGGAAATTAATTAGTTAATTAATAAAGAGTGTCACTGGAAACAGGCTTTGAGAATTTGCAGACACCACCCCATTTCTAACTTGCTTTCTCTGCTTGACGCTTGCTGTCTCAGCTGCCTGCTGCTATACTGACCTTACCATATGGACTCTAACCCTCTGAAACCATAAGCCCCAAACAAACCTTTTCTTTATAAATTGTCTTGTCATGGCATTTTATCACAACAAAAAAGTAGGGATGGTTTTTAAGATAGATTCTACTATGTTGCCTAGTCAGGGCAGATAATTCTAAGCTTAATTGATCCTCCTGCTCAGCATCATTTTTTAAAGATTTTTAAATTTTAAAGTGTATGTGTGTCAGTGTATACACACATGTGTGACAAGTACCTGAAGATTCCAAAAGAGATCCGCTGGAACTGGAGTGACAGGCATATGTGAGATGCCTGACATGATGCTGGGATTTAAACTTGAGTCCTCACAACAGAACAGCAAACACTTAACCACTGAGCCATCTCTCCAGCCCTCTCCCTCAGCATCTTAAGATTTCAGGACTACAGGCATGTGTCACCACACATGGAGAAACCCTCTTGTTTTTAGTGGTTCTGGGGAAGAGATGTAGGATACCTCCTGCATTAAACGGGCAAATGTATCACTAAACTGGGTCCCAGACACCCCCTCAACGCAGAGGGTATGAAGAACTATCTTTCTTTTTCCCTCCCTCCCTCCCTGGTTTTTTTGAGACAGGGTTTCTCTGTGTATCCTTGGCTGTCCTAGAACTCGCTCTGTAGACTAGGCTGACTTTGAACTCACAAAGATTCCCCTGCCTCTGTCTCTTGAGTGCTGGGATTAAAAGAATGTGCCACATCATCTAATGAAGAATGATTTTTCTAACCATTAGACTTTGCATAGTGCTTTTAATGTCATCCACTTACTGAATGTTAGGGAAGTTACTGAGTCCCTGCTCTGCTCCTGGCATTGCTGTGGGTACAAAACAGATTCTTGCCTTATGTGGCTGAAGCAAAGTGAAAAGAGACAGTGGGCACACGGAGCACGCTGTGAATTCTGAGCTAAGCCCTGAGGTGAGGTCATGCAACATTTTGGAAGCAGCAAGTGCCAGGGGAACATCCAGGTGTCCTGTCTGAGAGGAGCCACAAAAATAAGGTCAATGTGGACAAACATTTCACAACCGTGTTTGTGGGTTGTAATGTACTCACTAACCCAGCAGTAAAATCCACAGTCTGAAAGCCCCTGGGTTGGGAGTTCAAAGAAGCTAGACGGGTCTGTACTCATGAGTGCTATGGGATCATCTAACAAGGTACACGTATATGGAACAGAACTGGTAGGCAGTTGTATGGATTCTGTGTGTGGCTGTTACTCTAGTCCTTACAGTACACAGAGCTCAGCTTACTGCTACAAGTCTGCAGTAGTAATAGGGCCGTAATCAAAGAACCTGGCACATAGCATGTTTTGACAGTCTTAAGATAGCATTCACATGACTTACACAAGGGTCATTCTATCCCTTTATTATGAATTTCAATATGCCTGGATGCCTTACAATAAATATAATGTATAAGGCTCCAGCAGAGCAGAGTACAGGTAGGTGCTTACCGGACCCTGAAAACTCCCATCCTCCCTGTCGATGCTGCCTCGAGAGAGCCTCACGTCAGGTTTCTAGAGATGAAAACAAAGGCCAAGATAATTCATTAGGTATGTGTATGTTATTGTCAGATATTGGACTTAAGTTTATCATTTTACCCAACTCTCAAAGACTGTAACCTCAACTCAACGCCAGTATCAGCTTCCAGTTAGACTTCTTGACTCTACCCAGAACCATCTCTAGGAGAAACAAGGTGTCACTGTGCTGTTTGTGTTACCATGAGGTAACTATTTCTTGGATCTTTGACCATAAGGGTACAATTGTTGTTGGGAATGTAACTAAGGTCCTTGAACACGAGTTCTACCAGTGAGTTTATGTTTAGCTCATAGTGTACCTTGAATGATTAATATCTTCCTTAAATATTAAATATCTTTCATTATGCATTTAGTGTGTATTTAACATGTGTATATGCACATACCATGGTACATGAGTAGAGGTCAGAGGACACCCTGAGGGAGCTGATTCTCTCCTTCAACCATGTGGGTCTCAGGGATAAATTCAGGTTTTCAGGCTTGGTGACAAGTGCTTTTATCTGCTGAGCCATGTGTATGTCCCTTCTTTTTAATTTTTGGGATAAGGTCACACGCCTGGTCAGAACTGCCTTATGATGACTAGGGTGGGGATCTGCTTTAAGTTTGGGGTCTCACACTATTTTCGCTTGCTGCTTCCACCCGAGACACAGCAACCAATGGGCCAGCACCTGACGCCACACTTGTGTTGCTAGAAAATGCCTAAGGCTTTCAACACAGAGGTCTTTTTCCCAGGAATCCTGGGGGGGGGCGCAATGGCTGTCAGAGCAGGCTGTTCTCTGGCAGGCAGCTCTTTGTTACCATGCCCTAGCTCCCTCTTTTTTTTTTCCCATCAGGACTGACTGGGCCCACTGTGTGAGAGGAACACAGAATAGGCTTCATGTAGACAGGACTTCCATATTTTAAACCTTACAAAAGTCCTTTTTTAGTACTGTGCACAGTAATAAGAAGCCAAGTCACTATTTTAAGCAGTGCTCAGAAGGAAAACAAGGTTTCTCATCAGACTGTAGCTCTGCCCTGGCTGCCAGCATTCTGGCAAAGGAGTCTGTTAGCAAGAGCTTTACAGCAGTGACTCACATGCACAGGCCATCTAAGAAAGGTCACAATCTTGAGCTGGGGATAGGAGAAGAGGTACAATTAAATGAGAGCTATCAAGAGGGCATGTGACCTCAGGAAGGAGACTATGATCTGAGGTGAGACCGTTGACACACCCAAACACTTGGTAAACGACTCAGTGGATGACAGTAGCAGTCAACAGCAATAACCTCAAAACCTAAGTCTTCCAAACAATAGTTATTGTCATCCAGTGGAAAAAAAGTTTGGAGACAGAATAATGGACAGAACCAGTCAACTTTCAAGTAACAGAGTCTATCTGCTCACCATGGGGAGTGCAACCCATATTGCTGCCCACTTCACCACAGGGGGCACGGTGGATGCCTTCTGAAACTTCCACAGCCAGTTATGTTTTTAGGTTGCCAGAGTTTACATGGCAGTCTGGGTCAGCGAGGTATTTCAAGAGGTGAAAGTGCTTGCTCTGACTAACCTGAACCTGAGCTTGGTCCTTGTATTCCACAGTGAAAGCAAGAACCAACTTCTCAAAGTACATAGCATGCAGGAACATGCCCACATTCACAGGCACACACAGGCACACACATGCACACAGGACAACATTTAAAGAAATAAGGAAGTTTGGCTTGCATATTTTATTTCTTTAGAAACACCATTTTTTAAAATTAATTGAGTACTGATCTATAATGGTCTACACACTTGATAAGACTCCCATTTCCTGCAGACACAGCACACTCTAAGAGAAACATAGTCTATTTAGACTGCTGAAGTCTTGAGGAGTCACCAGAGGGCAGCTCTTGTAGTATCTTTTAAAGTGGCTGCAAACTCTTACTCGTGCCTCTCTATGTTCAGGGTTTGGACACAGGTACAATGTGCTCCAAGAAGGTGCACGGCTCTGTGGTGCATGAGTCCACTGCAGACGAAGGCAGGTGTGTGGGGGGGTGCCCTCTGCAGACAGGCTCTGTCCTCTCCTACTATCTATCACCACACTGAACCCCCATTCCATTCAGATGTGCTTCTGCTCTCAGTGGCAGCCCTCCAGAGTGACCTGTGCCCAGACACGGGGAGGGGAGGAACAATCAGATGCACAAGTACAAGAGAAGGCAGGAGGGCAAGTACTCTTACCGATTCCAGTGCCTGCATCTTCTATACCTAGCCCAGGGTGATGAGTGGTGATGGGAGGGACACCGACTACTCCCAGGAGCCCTTAGTTTAGCAGTGAAAATACGTAGCAAGAGTGACAGCATTTCAGAGAACATTTAATTGCAATTTAGATGGGTCAGTAAAGCTTGTCACTCATCTAACAGCTTCTTTCCACCACCCACTTGGAACTCAAGAGGGAAGCCCTTGCCTGCCCCTCCCTGTACCCTGTATGCTCTGTCCTTCCTCCTTCAAGGGATCTACATAGAAACGGATGTAACTGCAGCCTGCATTTTGAAGACTGCAAGGTAACAGGAGACACTTGATTTTTATTTTTTTAAATATACCAGATTAGGATAAGACAGTGTCCATTCTGTGTTCCACCCTGCAAGTTTACCATGGGACCCTGCATCTGTTCCCTCTCTAGGGTGGAAAGGCACTCCTCTCCAGATTCTTTTCAAAGCACTTAACTCTCTGCTTCTCTATCTACTGCAAATAGGCACTGCAGCTGTCTTACTGTTGTGCACAAAGCTGCTCACCAGCAGCACTTGCTGAGAGACTGGATGGGCCTGTGAGGCACCTGATAGGGTTTAGGGAAGGTGTGAGGGTGGCAAAACTGAACACTAAGAGGAACTGGGGACAGTGATATGGGAGAAGGTGAAGAAGGGACAACACTTAGCTTTTTAGCGTAAGTGTGTAAGGGAAATGATATGAATGAAAACCAAAGAGAAAGCTAACAGGGTTAGTTTGGGATCGGGTGACTTTAATGATAAAACAGTCAGGAGGAGGGGGAAAAGGCGGAAAGTGATTGCTATAAAAATACCCCTGCCAGGATATAATCACTCGATAGATGAGCATCAACCAAAGCTCTGAATGAACGAGCACAAAGCCCAGGTCAGCAGCTGTAAGCATGTAGGCATTTTTCTGCAGAGGGGAGCCAAGGCCATGAGACACTTCCATTGGACTTGGAAGGCCTGTCTATAGCTTCTTCTTAAGATGAGCAGAACATTTAATACACAGTCATGCTTCATGGAAAACAGACATTTTTAAATGAAAGCAGACAAAGAAGACAAGGCACAAGCAGACAATTCTTCAGGAGAAAAACAAATACTCTAACAAGAACTTAAAATGCAGAAAGAAAAGAAAACTCAAGGAGGTTTGACACTAGGTCCCGCACTATAGCCCTGGTTGACCAGGAGCTCACAGCAACACTGCCTCAGCTGAGTACTAGGATGACAGATGTGTGACTTTTTTTTCTTCCCTATACTGAGGGCAGAACCCCAACATCTGATACATACTAGTCAAGCATACTGCCATTGAAATAAATCCCCAACCTAATTTTTAAAAAAATGGAAAAAGTAACTCAGTCATGCATCTAGAAAATCTAAGTGGACAGGTCAAAGAAAGCATTCACAAGGTGACCGTTAGACAGAGAGCAAGTTGGATATGCTGGCTGAGGCGTGTGATCTCACTTACTCTGAGGTTGGAAGGTTGCAGTCTTAGGACCCTCTAATCTACACAATGAGTAAATTGAAGGCTATCTTGGACAATTTAGTGACTCCCTGTAACAGCAGCAGCACCAGCAGCAAAAGTCCTTACAACAGAGTGCATAACACAGGAATGCACAGCTGGGCAGCTCAGTGTCAAGGAGCTGAGACAGGTGAGGCTCTTCAGACACACCACACTTTATTCAGGCAGCAAAGGCAGGTGCTTCCTCAGGGATCACAGGGATTTCACACAGGATGAATTAGAATTGGATTGTGAAGATACTCCAGCAGGCCTTGCGTTGCGCATGGAGGCAGACTCATCAAGGTAGACATTATAGTCGGGGGAGGCCACTCAGCTCTGTAGATGAGCTCTGCACACACAATGGAGCTACTCAAAAGCTGGAGACACCTGGGACAGAGCAGTTAGGCCTTCGCCAGAACTCACCATGTGCTTCAAAACAAGAGGCACAGTGCATGCACACAACCTCAAAGAAAAACAAGTCTTAGAATACAGGCACCCTCAGCCTTCTGAGGAGAATTCCTTAACTCCCTCAAGAGATCAGCTCAGGTCACATCTGGCTACGCCAGTCCCATGACCTTACGTCATTACCCACGCCCTTCCCACTGCCTGGAATGTATTTCCTCTGCCTGTTTGCTCTGCAAATTCCAGTTTTTCTTTTAAGCCTTAGCTCACACATCATCTGGACTGTGCTGTCTCCCCAGCATCACAGGAAGCACGGGGCTCCTTTTTTCTTTTGACCTCTGCTGGCGGAAAAATCTGGTGACAGCATTCCACAGCAAACCTCTGCTTAGTGGTGCCACACACACCACATATGCCACATACGCCACATACACCACACACACCACATACACCACACCTATACTGAAACTTATCAGCAAATTCAAATAATTTCATTTTTTAAAATACAGCAAATGCTGTGTGTGTGTGTGTGTGTGTGAGACATAGGCCACGGAACAACAGGTGCCATCTTAGACTCATTCCCAAATTGACTACCCAGATTAGGAGAATTAAGCCACAGTCACTATTATTATTTTTATTTTGTAGCATGACTTAAAATCTAGATCTGCCTTAACTAATTGAAGACTCTGAAAATATAGGATACTCATTTTCTCCAGAGGGATATAAAGTGTAGACCCATGTGATGAGGGACGTGACAGCTCAGCATGGTAACCCAGCCCCAGAGAAGAATAGTCAGCCATGCTGGAGGGCCACTCTGCACGGTACACGGGTTCCCAGCGCTGACACACCACCGTTCTACATCTGCACAAGTTCATTCACTCTGCCTCACTTCCAAAATCTAAACTTGCATTTGGTAGTTTAAAGGTATCTGATTTGTAGTAAAACCTGACCAAATGGAAATAAATTATCTCTATTTCTCCGTAATGTATTTGTTATTTGTGAAGAAATGCTAATGGCTAACTCTGTGATTTTAATAGAGAATTAGAATAATAACTTCTGTCATACTTTAGCTTTCAAGGTGGTTGGAAAAAAAACAACAGCAAATTCTGAGGCACACATGGCCTCCGAGGAGTTGAACAAAAGATTAAGAACATGTCCTAATTGTACAGGGTGGCTGTGAAAACTAAATTATCTTATACAGGAACATTATATCAAAAAACACCACATGAATACAAGCAACACTGCTATTCATTACTGTCCCTATTACTCATTGTTAACTTTCATAAGAGAATGTGTTCGGAGACGATACACTGTCCTGAAGGGGCAGACAGCTGAAATGTGAAGTGTGTGCTACATCTAAGGTTGGGATAGAAATAAGACTGTAAAAGCTCTCATTGTTTTAACTTTAAACAGAGCAGTCTTTGCATTCAAGCTGGTGGAGCGTGCTTTAACCTGTGTAGATCAGTGTGAGAACAATTAGCTAGCATGCATGAGGCTCTGGATTCAATTGTTGTTATGAGTACAGACACAACCCTCTCAAAAAAGAAAGCTATATGTACAACAAATAAAGTTAGGTGGTGCCTTAGGTTTCTACTGCTGTGATAAACACCATGACCAAAAGCAACTCGGGGAAAGTATTTCTTTCTTTTTTTTTTTTTTTTTTTTTTTTGGTTTTTCGAGACAGGGTTTCTCTGTAGCTTTGGAGGCTGTCCTGGAACTCTCTCTGTAGACCAGGCTGGCCTCGAACTCACAGAGATCTGCCTGCCTCTGCCTCCCGAGTGCTGGGATTAAAGGCGTGCGCCACCAACGCCCGGCACGGGGAAAGTATTTCATCTTACAACTCTCAGGTCAGACTCCACCTGGAGGTAGGAACTGAGGCAGAGGCCATGGAAGAGTGCTACTTGTTCTCTACAGACTACTCAGCCTGTTTCTTACAACATCCAAGATTACCTGCTTAAGGACGGCACTGTTCCAGTGTGCTGGGCCTATACACATCAATCATTATTAAGAAAATGCACTAGAGTTGTCTACAGACAAACTTTATGGAGGAATTTCTCAACTGAGAGTCCCTCTTTCCAAATAACACTAGCCTGTGCCAAGGTGACAAAAAATATCTAATCAATGCAGGTGACATTGGTGAATCATGACTCAACCAAAGCATGAGGAACTAGGTTTGGATTCCCCAGGTAAAACTACTAAGAAAGACTTTGTGGAAACAGCAAGAACCCTAGTTCTTTCTGGCCACATTTCCCCCCCCAGGACTGGAGAGGAGGATGAACTAGTCTCACAGGCCCCAGTGTTGTGGCAAGGACACAGCAGTCTAGAAGGATCAGAGCTCTGTGTCCCGAAGGGACTTCTGAATGAGGCAGTCATGTCAGCAAGAGCTGCCTGAAAGACTGTTCTCATCAAGGTCCAGACACACTGCAGGAGGCAGGGGGAAGGCAGGACTTGCAATCTGCAGGGTTGAGATGCAAAGTTCTGTCTTTACACCATCACTGAAGTCTTTTCTGTATAAACAACGTGGTAATGAAAAAAACAAAACAAAAACCCCAGAGAAATCTCTGAGCCATAATACACTACAAAATTTTGGAAATGGGATTCCTAAAGTATCATCAAAAATAACAAACAGCCCATGATGGCAAGAGTTTGGGACCAGATGTAAGGTAAGCCTTTAGCTTTAGAAATGGAGTTCTGCAGTTGCTTATGAGGTAGACCTGGATGGGGCTGAGTGCTCTGCAGTGTGGTTACCAGAAATCGCTCTTCCTTCTCCAGCCAGCGCTGGTCCTCTTCCATTTCCTGCTGCTGTCGGATTAGCCGCTCTTCCATCAGATGAGGGGGAAGCACCTGTCCCATTCCTCGAAGGTCCAAAGCTGCTGAGTCCTGGAAAGCACATTGTTGACAGAACATTCAGTTTCTTGACTCCATTCTTATATTCCTACTTTGTGCTGCTGTGGGTCTTTCAAAACTGATAAGCCAAAGAAAATTGGTCTCTCAAACTCTAGCTATCTCTCTGAAGGCCAAGACTCACTGTGTCTAATATTCATGTATATGGGTTACTTCTAAGAAATGCACAAAAGACTGACTGCATCAGAGACATAAGACTAGAAGACTGAGCAGATGAGGCATCTTTTTTTTTTTTTAAAGATTTACTCATTTTATGTAGACTGGTGTTTTGCCTGCATGTATGTGTATGTGAAGGTGTCAGGTCCTCTAGAACTGGAGTTATAGAAGATTAGGAGCTGCCACGTGGATGCTGGGAATTGAACCTGGGTCTTGGTATGGACTGCTATAACTGGCTAAATGGGTTATGTAGATTTTAGAATTAAATAATCACAATCAAGCAATTTCAGATTTACAAATAACAGGAGACTTAAACAACACTATGTCCAATGACTGGCCATAGCCAAGAACACCCCGTTTACCTCCACACCAGGCTGCCACACAGACATCTCCTGGGGTCTATGATTCCACAACTCTGTCTGGTCCAGAAGAGATGCCTGACCTGGGTAAATGCTGCCTGCCATGGATGGGATTCCATGAGAACCTGGGTAGCCAGAGACCTGTGAGTATTTCAGGAGGCAGGGTTAGCTTCTGACAAAACAGAGATTCTGCTAGATCCAAAACCAGTTTTTTCAAGAACACACACAGTTTGCTTTTTTCTGGGGGGAGGGGTCGAGACAGGGTTTCTCTGTGTAGCCTTGGCTGTCCTGAAACTTACCTGCTGGGCATCGTGGGAAATACATGTTACTCTAGCTAAGACTTTGAGACCAGCCTGGGCTTCACAGTGAGGGCCTGTCTCAAAAAACAAACAAACAAATAAACAAACACAACCCAGCCCAAGAGTAGAGTTGGATATGGTGGCATGGGGCCTATAAAATGTTGGCACTTATAAGCCAGAGGCAGGAGATCACAGATTTGGGGCCAGCTTTATCTACATGATGAGTCCGAGGCTAGCTTACAGTCACATATTGAGATCCTGTCCCAAAATTCCAAGCATGGCAGGTGTAGTGATGCACACTTTTGATCTCAGCACTTGAGAGGAAGAGGCAGCTATATCTCTAGAAATGTACATTATGAGTTCCAGGCCACCTCAACACTCCCTTCCCCCTCCATTCAAAAATCACTCCCAAACAAGAATAAAAACCACAAAAAAATTCCTAAATTTTTTTCTCTAGTGAACAAGAAGCTAATGGCAGTGGGAGAGGCCATGTCTTTTATTTCAGAGTGATGACTATAGCAGAGAGAGAACATTCAGAGGTACATGGCGGCAAAACCCAGGCAGAAGGAAAACATAAGGTCTCCTGAAATGGCTTCTCTTCAACTGAGAAGCGGCAGCAGACTCAGAATGCAATCATATGGCCAGAGTGGACAATTACTTGATGAACTGAGATAGATGCACAGTGAAATTCACACTCCCAAACATCAGCACGTCCTTCAGCAAAGGCTTGTCCATATTTGGTCTCTGGGCAGTGGCAAATGCTCAAACTCCCCAGGGATAGTATCTAATTAATAAAAAAATCCTATTGCATGCAAGTGTTATGACACTGTTTTGTATATATATATATTTATATGTATATATGTGCCTGCTTGTCTGTGTGTAGGTGCTAGAGGTGTGGGGGGGGTTAGAGTCTCTGAAAGTACACTTGCCAGCAGTTGTGAGTACCCGATGTGGGTGCTGGGAACCAAATCTGGGCCCTCTGCAAGAGCAGTGCTTTTTTAACTGCTGAGTCATCTCTCCAGCACCTACACCACTCTTTCTCCCTCCCCCCTCTCTCTAAAAAGTGCTACAACATTAACAGAATTTCCAGAATTTTTTCCAATAGAAGTTTTCTAAATAGCCCTCTGGGGCTTTCAAAGTAGTGGGATCAGACACTCACAAACATATCCTCAAGTCTATCCAGTTTGCTGCATGCCGTCAAGAACACGCAGAACTGACAGTTATCCCAAAAAGCATGTGCTGCTGCCATCTCTCCCCAGGGTCAGGTAGGTAGGCCTGGCTCTTCTCCAGGGTGACTGTATTACATGCAGGCACTAGGGTCTCTTATCAGTAAGAAGTGAGTACGCCTTCTGCCTATCCACACCCCGCTACCCACTGCTCTGATCCTTGTCCTGGTCAGAGATTCAGTTGTTTTGCTGAGCTGAAACACACCCCACTATGCATCCTCCCAGGAGGAGTGGGAGACTTCCTTTTCATGTTCTAAAGTGCCAGATAGCAGGTAAATAAACTCAGGAACCTATTCTCCTTGTTCCAGAGGGTGGCTGTCATGAAGCAGTGACTCCCAGAACACAGGCTTGACCCATCATCCCTAAACTGGTTCCTAGTGATGGGAATCTACATGAGAAATCAGTGTGTAAGGGAGTGGTGTGCTGTACACAGGACCTGAACTTTACCCAGTACCCATAGATTTATAGCCTTTTGCTTCCTAGTAAGAAGCATGCCTATCTTCTTCCCTAGAATCCTAGTTACCAGCTAAGCATTTTTTGTTTATGTTGGCCCAAGGGTCCTTTATGTAAATCTGCTCTCAGTAACCCTCGGAATGTCCTCAGTAAACCTAGTCAGAGACAAAAAACTGGATCTTCAACGACACATTCCACTGCATTTACATCAGATTCCACAAAAGGCAAAGCACACCTACCTCTGCTAGCCAGGTGACAGACATCAGAAGGGTGGTGACCTCTAGGGTTAGGTTGATTGGCTAGGAAGTGCAGTCTTCTGCCCTTTTAAGATGCCTTCTCAGGAATGGGCCGAGGTATGTGTATAGACACTGTGGTGTTGGGATTCATTGGAAATAGGGCCTATCCAGGGTTTGCAGTTCAGTGTTAGTGAATGTCTTTCCCTTGACTAACTACTCTGGTCCTGGATGGCTGCTCCAAATGCAGCCCTCCTCCACACATTCTTATGCAGGTCATCATCCTCTTCTGCCTGCACAGACTTACAGTGCTTTCTATTTATTTTTGTCTTCTGGAAAAACTACACTTCAGTATTAGCTCTGCCTTGTCCCTTAGAGGCAGGTGGGAGAGAATGAAGATATGACTAATGAATAATTCTAGGCCTGTGGGAGGTTGGAAGGGCATGAAAATCAAGGCAAAGACCAAGGCGATTAGTTTCTTAGTAGACAAACCAGAGAACAGAAATGAATTCAAGCTTCTTCCTACCACACAAGTGCCGACGAGCCAAGTAACATGTAGGATATTGTGACAACTCATATACCTGGTAGTGATTGGTTTGGACCATGTGCTGTGGGCTGGGGTAAAATCCTTCACTGGATCTTGGGCTAGGATAACCAGGTCTGCTGGGCTGTGAACAAATCAACAGAGCATCGTAACAATGAGTCCTCTGATTTTGAAAAACCAATGTCTCACAGTAAAGATATTGCTAATACAACTTAGTTGAAAAGAACAATTAGGAGGCCAAGACGCTTCAGCAAGGGAAAAATCTTCAACAAATGACCCTTCCCGATAACTTACCTGACAGCTAACTCAAAATGATTCACAGCCTAAATCTAAGAGGTCAAACTGTGACAGCATTAGAAGGGAACTGGAATAAATTTTTTCAATCACCTGATGGAGAATGGGAGGGGCAACGGTGTCTTAGCTATGACACCAAAAACTCAATGGATAAAAGGGAAATTGAATTATGAAATTTACATCATCAAAGTGAAAAAGGAGAAAGACCAAGCTGAAGAGTAAGAGTACTCAGCACAACAGCTCCCACAGTACTAAAATAACATGTCATCGGTCAAGAAGGGGACAAAGCTAGCAACATAGAACAGACCCAAAGAGAATAGACTACCCACCAAAAGATGCCTAGCAATTCCAAACCACAATGAGTGACTGTATTATGACCTCCAGGATAGTACTAAAGAAGACATAATAAAAGCAAGGCTAGCAGTGGAGGAACCAGGGTAATATACTGGGTTGGGATATGCTAGGCTGATCCCCAAGAAAATGAAACACAGAATTACCATAATGTCATCAAAACCAGCAAAAAAAATGAGGATTTAAGACCACACAACAACACACAAGTTCTTAAGAACACTGCTCATAACAGCCAGAAAGGGGAAACAATATTTGCCAACTGATGAGTGGATAAACAAAATCAAACAGCCCAGGAAGGCGGTAATTAAAAGAATGATGCAGTGTGTGGGATAGGCTCCTGAAGCCAAGCTGTGGCAACAGCCGTATGATAGTACCCACTTAAATGAAGAAAGTGGCATGGAAAACACATGGAAAAACTTGTGGCTCATGTAGTGTATACTGTACACACTGAATGGATCATTCTGCAAACAATGCTGTAAAACTGTATCACCATCCTTACTCTCTATTTTAAATAGGTTCAGAATAGTCATAAACTGCAAAAAGGTTCACAAAGTTTGCAATAGTGGAAACCCCAAATCTTCCATATGTCACTATTTTACTCTGTTAACAAATACACTTATACCTTACCAAATAAAAAATAACAGTTAAGAAATCAACCTGAACAAGGCAAAACTTCTTCTAAACATCACACACTGAGTCACATTCTTTTAAATTATTTTTGATTTATTTTATGTATATGAATGTTTTGCCTGCATATATGCATATGTACCATGTGCATGTCTGGTGTCCTTGTGGGTAAGAAGGGGGCTGGAATTATTGACGGATGTGAGCAGCCAACTGGGTGCTGAGAACCAAACCCAGGTCCTTTACAAAAGCAGTAAGTGCTTTTGACTCCTGAGTCACCTCTCCAGTATAAGTCACATCCTGCATGGACCAATTCCCTTTTTATGCCTAGTGCTCCTGACAGCTGGGTGACAGAGTCACTTTCTCAAGCTGTGTCACCAACTATGCACTGTGATCAACAGCGTCTCCTTATTACCTCATTCAAAGCAAACTTCGGTCACCAATATCAAAACACAGAAGTTAGGGGATTTTGATGAAGTGTGAAGATAAAGGACACAAGGTGATGTTCAAAGCTGGAGGCGTGGAAGGGGCTGGTATCTTCCCGCAAGGGTATGTAGGACCCTGTGAAGAAGCCTGCGGGGTGATTCTAGGCAGTGAGGCAACATCAACTCAACATTAACACTGTTATAAAGAAAACCAAATCTTACACAGTGACAAGAAATGGAAGACTGGTTCTTTGTGTGCTAGAGATGGAACCTAGGCCACACATGTCAGGCACGTGTTCTACTACTGAGCAATACATCCCCGGGGTGAAAAACCTCCCTCCCCAAGTTTTTCAGCACAATTGTCAATATTGTTTCCTCACACACCTCACACCACTAAATGAATCTTTCTTCCTTTCTTTTTCGTTTTTGAAAGACCTATTTATTTATTATGTACACAGTGTTTTGACTGCATGTCTGCCTGCACACCAGAAGAGAGCACCAGATCTCATTACAGATGGCTGTGAGCCACCATGTGGTTGCTGGGAATTGAACTCAGGACCTCTGAAAGAGCAGCCAGCGCTCTGAACTGCTGAGTCACCTCTCTAACCCAAATGAATGCTTCTTAAAGCCAGGGGTTAGTGTAGAATCTCAACCTTATCATTAATATGCTTTATTAAAACCCATGACTCTGGCCGGGCGTTGGTGGCGCACGCCTTTAATCCCAGCACTCGGGAGGCAGAGGCAGGCGGATCTCTGTGAGTTCGAGACCAGCCTGGACTACCAAGCGAGTTCCAGGACAGCCTCCAAAGCCACAGAGAAACCCTGTCTCAAAAAACAAAAAAACAAACAAACAAAAAAAACAAAAACCACGACTCTGGATTTTGGGGGACAGGGTCTTGATATATAATTATTTTCTACATTAGCCCTGGGATGTGGGATGGTAGGCATGAGCCACCACACCTTGCTTCTGTTTTCTATCTTAGATGGATTATTTACCCATGTGTGATTCGGTCACATCCCCAAGCCATCTAGAAAGCACTGGTTCACTAACTTATGTAGACCATCAATGTGATACATTATAGAAGGTAGGGCATAATTCAACTGTGAAACACTGTCCTCTAAGCAAACAGTCACCCTCATCAGGGCCACTGCGACTACTTGCAAGAGCTCTTTAAGGTCCTATTTGTTGATATACCCTCATACAATGGGTTGAGGAGAGTCATAGACTCTTACCTGAGATACCAGTCACTCCCTCTGCATCTTCCTGCCAGGTATATATAATTTAGCTCCAGCTGCACATGGCCTTAGAGAATATAGTGTGGAAGGTTAACTGAAGTTAGGGGAGCTCCAAGCTGAAGCTTCCATGATGGTGTGGGACTTGGCACACAGCTGTCTCAGGGTCACCCATGTTCCTGTAAGCAGCCTCTCCCCATGCTCTGTAAGATCAATACATCACCTGGTCTAGCAAGCTGTACTTGACCATTGAAGCCCTCTCTGGAGTGAACAGATGTCTGTCTGCATCTCCCAGGAAGTTAACACAACAACTTCTAACAATCATATGTTAATGTTGCTGTGATATCTCTAACACAGTCTATCAATCTGGAAATTATCATGGTCAAGTTGCTGTTACTCAAAATTAGAATTTTTGCTTGAAAATTCATGTTTTAGTTATGGTTTTCACTGAAGCGAGGGTTTTGTTCCCTTTACTTTTTGAGAAAATGTCCATCAAATCCACCAATCTGAATAGCATGTTCCTCTTGTGCATGCTAGATAGGCTTCCACTCAACACTGCACCACTCAATCAGGGCCGTTCTGCCATAGCTGGGAGTTTTTCTTAGTGTGTGAGTACAGTGGTGGGGCGGATATGGTGTTCACTGATGAAACATGGTGATGCTTACTGATAGTCCCACTCGTGCCACTGTCAAAGCAGTGCAACAGGAAATACTTCTTGGTGTGACTAGGAGCCCAGCTTTGGCCTCAAAGGTCTATGCAAATGGTCACAAGAGTGTGTGAAGCTGTGTTCTGCTGATCAGGCAGCATTCACTGATCTCTGCTTTAAACAAAGAATGGGGGGAGGGGGTTCCTGAAGAACGCCTCTGAATGTGATTTTGGAAACACCACCAGTGGGAGAACAGCATACACACAGGAAGGATATTTAAAATTTTATGAGGTAGTTTTTTTTTTTTACTTGAGATCCAAAAGAAGCCAAACCACATGAGCCTAATTTAAAGTAAATCTGTCAAAATGAAATTATTAAAGCCCAACACAGCCGGGCAGTGGTGGCACACACCTTTAATCACAGCAATGGGGGCGCAGAGGCAGGCGTACCTCTGTCAGCCTGGTCTATAGAGAGAGTTCCAGGACAGCCAAGGCTGTGACAGCCAGTGCTGTTACACAGAGAAACTGTCTTGAAGGAAAACAAAGAAAAAACAATCAACTAACCAACTAGCGGGGGGGGAACCAAACTCCAACAGAGATTAGGAAAAGTTAAAGATTAAAGATACCTAGGCACAGCCGGGCGGTGGTGGCCCACGCCTTTAATCCCAGCACTTGGGAGGCAGAGGCAGGTGGATCTCTGTGAGTTCGAGGCCAGGCTGGACCGACAGCCTCCAAAACAATACAGAGAAACCCTGTCTCGTAAAAAAACAAAACAAACAAAAAAAAGATACCTAGGCACTGGCAGTCTGGACTCTGTGGCAAGGTTACTCTTAGCTTAGAGAAGTGCCACCTTGTGTATTTATAATACTGTCTCCAAGAGGCAGGAGTACTAACACCTCCATCCGATAAACTAAGAGAGTGAGGCTTAGAATAATGCACCCTGTCATTGTCTCTTTCCAGCCAAGCCTCAGATGAAGAGACTTGCTTGACTGAGAACTAAGTGATGAGCTTTCTCCCGCTTCCCGATATGGGACTACTTTGCAGGTGTCACAGGACAGGATTAAAGCAGGAAACCAGGAGGCTGAGGTAGGAGGCAAAAGACAAAATCCACCAAATCAAATACACAAAAAAGAAAACAAAAAACAGCTAAATGGTAAACAGTCCAGGAAGGATCATAAATTCTGGGATGAAGTGTTGGTGTCTTTTCTGTAGGTAAGGAAATACTTTTGTTGTTCTTGTTAAATTGGGAACATCACTTCTTCAGGTGGTGGGTATTGCCCTCTGGGAAGAGCTGGGTTGATGAGGCTCCTTATAGACTAAGCTGAGCTCATCACCTACGCTCACTTCCAGAGAGCACCAGCTTCACTGCTGCACAGCTCAGCGTGGGCTACCATAGGTGTCAGACATTGCGATAGAACATTGGCACAGTACTCACAGTTCCTGTGTCACAAGACTCCTACTTTTCAAAAGAAAATAAAATGGGGACAAACCATTCTTTTTCAGGGTTTCTCTGTGTAGCCTTGGCTGTCCTGGAACTCACTCTGTAGACCAGGCTGGTCTCGAACTACCTGCCTCTGCCTCCTGAGTGCAGAGATTAAAGACATGCGCCACCACACCCGTCGTGTCAAACCATTTTTAGCTAACCAAATATATAATTTGTCAGGGAACAACTTAAAAAAAAAGCCTGTTGCTTTTTTACTTTTCAGAAAAAGATCTGAATTGGATTATTTGTTCAAATTGGTGCAAGAAGAGCCTACCCCATCCAAAATCAAAGGGAAGAGAAGACATTTTACTATGTGCAAAGCGACAAAGTCCATCTGGGTCCCAAATACTCAACTACTGTCCAGTTATTGTAGAAAGGCGGAGGCTTTCCTTCCCAGGTTATAGGAGAGAGAAAACCCAGAGATGATAGCAAGAAGTGCAGGTGCCCTGTCATGCCAAGCATGATAAAGGCTTGAGAGCAAACGCAGTGCCCCCTCCAACACCTAGCCAGCAGCCACAACCCAGAAGCACTACATAAAGCTCCTGCAAAACCAAAGCAAAAGGGATGCGGGTGGGTAGAAATGTGCTTATTTGAAAATAAAGCAAACCCTCAGTGCTCATGGCCTAGTCTGGTGTTTTAGCCCTCCCTGACTGGGAGATCTCTAATTCTCTTGCCAACAAGAGAAAGTAGGTACCACCTAAACCCCTGGGAGCACCACAAGGAGGAAAGGGTAATTTCATATCAAGTCTCTCATAGCCATTGGCTTCCCCAGTTGAATAATTCTACTAGAGAGGGGGGTGAATATATTACAGTGTTTACTCCTCCAATGACTTAGGGGCTTGTCATGCAGACACAGTATATACACTCCACAGAGTGCAGTTCAAGAGGACTCTCAAAGCTGCGGCAGAGGTGTCAGCTACCTTGGGTGGTGCTTCATCAGACCCTCCAGAGTCCCAGGACACGGTCGCCTGTCTTCTGGACTCCATCCTCATCCGTTCTTCTTGCTGCACCTTTTCTTCCTCCAGGATTGTGCTGGAGAAACAATACACTATGTTAGGGGAGCTGATAGCCAATCACCCTCCCCACTCATCTATGGGATACCAGTTATTCCCAGTAGAAGCCAGTCACAGAGAAAGGAGCCTATACACACAAGAGTATTGGGTTTCCAGCCCTACACAGGAGTCTAGAGCAGCCATGGTATCAACTGGCAAGTGCACTTAAATAACAGCACAGGTAAGAAAGACCGCTACTAAGAAAAGACCCTGGTGAAACAAAGGCCAAGCAATATGAACTGTATGCACACTGAAGTTTCCTCTGTGCAGAACACAAGGATCAGAGAGATCCCAAGCACCTCTGTATCAAGCATCTACACGTCTCTGGCAGACTGCTTGAAAGCAGACTCCCACATAGCTCCAACTCACCAGCACATGGTGATCAACTCCCAAGGGGCCAAGATCTCCCCACTACCTCAGTACAATAGTACACTAGTTTTTACATCAAGAAAACAAGGAAAACTGCAACAGTACTTACAGGTGCTTCTAAACCACTGCCTGCTCTAAGCTGGAAATGCCCCACTTACCACCACCAGGCTGCACAGTGGCCTGGCCTCCGTGGCAACGCGGGCGGCGTCTCAGTCCTGGCTGTGTGCCATCCTATAAATGCCTCAGAATGCAGCTCAGGGAGCGTGCTGAGCCCCCCATACTCCCCACTGCCTCCTTGGGGCTTGGTAGGCAGCAGGTATTTGAAATCTTCGCTTTAACTCTGGCAACAAGCGGTTCTTCCCTCCATGCCTGCAACCTGGAGTCCTAATAATGAGGCTCATTCACAGATTCTGGCCTTGGCAGCCAGATACAGTAAATAACCACCCAGAATTACTCAGGAAATAGTGACATCAGCTGCACAGACTCCTTCTAATCTGGGAATCTGCCTGACTGTTTAAAAAGACATTCCTGCCGGCTAGAGGCTGGAGCCTGCTCCTCTCAGTCACCTCCTGAATCAGGAACAGACAGACAAAATTCATTCCATGGCTGGCCTGGAGTCAGCAGGCCATCATTGCATGTTAAGGAAGGTTTTTGCCTCTAAGAAAAAGGGCTGTTCTCAAAGACCCACTGCCTCTTTAAAGAAGTTTCAGACACCAGACCTATCCTTCATCCAAGAAGAGTCTGGTTTCCTTTTGCACCAATTAGAAGGAACAGTGGAACACACACACACACCCAAGCTACCTTAAAATTTTGTTGTTTGTTTTGTTTTTTTTGAGACAGGGTTTCTCTGTGGCTTTGGAGGCTGTCCTGGAAGTAGCTCTTGTAGACCAGGCTGGTCTTGAACTCACAGAGATCCACCTGCCTCTGCCTCCCAAGGGCTGGGATTAAAGGCGTGTGCCACCATCACCTGGCTACCTTAAAATTACACATTTCTCAGCAGCACAGGATGCAGCTGAGTGGAAGATCATCTGCCTACACATGTACAAGGCCCTGGGTTCAATCTTAAGCACCCCTTCTCCTTACAGGCTGGCTATTCATAACTCTGAAACCTGAGAAACTTTTTAAACTTTTTAACTTTTTAAAGTGTATAAAACTATGACAACTTCTCATCAAGTAATGTCCACAGCAGTCAAAATACAATTCAAATATGAAGTATAAAAGGGCAACCATATCTTGGCAAATTCACCCAAACTCCTATCTCTAAGTTGGCAGTCAACTTTAACAGGCCTGCTACACAGCTATTAACATGCACCTTTGAATGCACTGCCACACTCAGAATGCATGACCTCAGCAAAAGCTAGTAGGGCTTCACTGAGCTATATGAGTTCCCCAGTGGGAACATGGGCAATTCAACTTAGGTTTCCAGATCAGAGCCTCCCCAAGGCTAAGGGAGGGCATGTGTTGAGGCCAAGTGGAGACCTGTGTAGATAGAGCAGGTCATTGTATGGGAAAGGGGGCACTGACCTGGACTCACAGCTGATTAGACACTACTTTCTTAGAGGTGGCCAATGTGATGGGGGTCCAGTTTGAAACCAGAGAGGAACACATTCTGGTAAGATCTCCAGAACCCTGCTCTCTTTCACCAACAACAGATAACAGATCTGACACTTTACAGCTTAAAAAAACCAAAAAGCCCAACAAAATCAAGGTAAAAAATTTAACAACAACAAATTTAACAACAGCAACAACAACAGTAAAAAAAATTAAAGTCCTTTCTTCTACATCTTGAACCAAACTAAAATATAGGCAGGCAGCAAGAAGGCTAAGTGAGACCTTTCTTTCAAGCAATGGAAAGTTCCCATGGCTTTCGAGGCTACATGCTTTATGAAATAGGTTACCCGATGTACTGTCAACCCATCTGCTGAGACCTCACACAGATAGGTACTGTGAGGTGCTTTGCTATAAGGATACTATCAGGCTCTATCTTCTGCCTACAGTAATTACCCCTTTCTCTGATCACCTTGAAAGTACTACCAGAATCTTCCTTTCAGTGCTTAACCATGCAGTGTGAGTTTTCTATGTTGTCTAGCATGGGTTAAGCCCTCCTGGGCAACTAAAGAGCATCTGCACACTAGTGAGGCTCCAATGTGTGAGCAAGCACACCAGACTTCTGTCTCAAAGAGTGCAAAGATCATTGAGAAGCTCTTCCATCTTAACATTCGCTCATACCAGAAATAGCATGTCAAATGCTCCTGAGAATCAATCCAGGAATATAAATAAGCCCTAAAGATCTGTTTGACATTGGGTGGCTAGTCCACAGATGGGGCCCCTACAGAGTCACTCTCTGCAGCTGCTAAGAGTCAAGGCAGCAAAGGAGGATGTGTAGGGTCATGGAGGTCAAACTGCAGCATATTTTCCCAAACTCACAATATTCCACTGGAAAGCTTTTAGCTGCCTAATGTACACGGGCAATGAGCCCATGGTTTTTCCTGGATGGAGGTTTATGAGTTGTTAATTTGCAAATGGATGGAACAAGAAAAGCTGAGTCTGGTCACTTATAAAACTTAATGATAATGCCTGTTAATTTGTGGACCACAAGAATCCTGAAAAGGGAAAGGAGAATTTTATTTAATATTAAATTTATTTCTTGTTTTTCTCACTTGAGAAGAAAAGTCACCAAAGCAGTCAACTCACTGTCAAGGCCACAGAGATTATAAGAACTGTTCTGACTTTCTTCTTTGGCCCTCCCAACTCCAATGACAGGCAAAGGAATCTTCTAACTTCACTTTCTGGAGCAATCAAATGGATGCAGAATGATGAAGTGGTCTGCTAGGTCCTTGTTTCCAGGACAAGTCACTCTATAGTTAAGGATGTTTCATAAATGTTGAAGGCCTCCCAGTGTTGGTGGCAGGGGTTCGAATTTCTTGACTTCCCCAAAGGAAAAGACAACAGTGGGGAGCTAGTCTCTCTACAAGCCATTTCATTATTCACTATTAAGAAGAGCACCATGATGAAGAAACACAGGAGTGAAAGATGAACACACAAATCCAAATTGGTTCCAGCTCCTCCTGCCTCAAAGCCTTTAGAAAAGAAGGAACTTTTACACTTCCATTTCACCCTTCTGTGGTGCTGGGGATGGAACCCAAGGCCTCACTGTGCCATCTCTGGCCCCATTTCATCTCTGTAGTAACTATCTGATGGGTTGCCATGGGTTACTGTGGTACAAGCTCTTCCTTTGTCAATTAATTATAAAACATATATTTTTAAAGATAAGAAACACTTTGTTTTATTAATATGGGGAAAGATTTTTTTAAAAAAGAATTGAACTCTAATTACCAAAACAAAGAGTTGGGATCACACCATTTGCTTTGGATACAAACTCAGTCTGAGTCTGTAATTTAAGTGGATCTGGAAAATACCCAGGGAAAGAGAAGCAGTAAATCCAAGGGGAAGATTTAGAGGGAAGGGCTTGCTCTGGCACGTTCACGGGAACAACAGTTCTGAAACATGATCTCTTATAGTTACTAACCATTGCCTCACCACAAAGGAATGGATTTGACCTTTCCACAAACCGGGGGTGTCCTTGCAGGAAACAAGTCTGTAGCTTGAGCTGGGCTTGTGAGAGCTGAAAGACTGCTCCAGCAGTGCTGGCCCCTGGTAACCATCTTTTCTCTGATGCCATAACTTAAACTATGGGAAACAGGCTCTGCTGTTCGCTTGTTGTATTAACCACCTCAAGACTGATTTTTCTAATTAAAATTCTTTTATTATTTTATGTGTATGGGCATTTTGTCTGCATGCATGTCGGTTTTACTATGGGTGTACCTGTGGAGACTAAAAGAGGATGTCAGATGTATTGGAATTGGGGTTATACAGTGATGTGGGTGCTGAGAACTGAACTTGGGTCTTCTGAAAGAGGAGACAGGGCTTCTTAGCTGCTGAACCACCACTCTAGCCCCTATCATTGTTATTACTATCATCATCATTATTAACTATTTTAAAGAAAACCACTCCTATTAATATCTTATTTGGCACAGTGTCCTCCTGGTTTCAGGTGCATCTGAAAGCTTTTCAAGGACCCAGATGATTGCACTGGAGCTCTGGATGGGAGAAACAACCATGTGGTGGCCCAGAACAGCCAGCAGTGCAAGAGGCTGACACAAGCAGCTGAGCAGACCCTGGTTTTCATGTTAGACAGATATAGACGCTGGATCTGTATCCTCCCGGCTTGAAGAACAAGAGAGCTGAATTGGGAACAAACAGCTGATTGAAAATGCAGGGGGAATCTCAGAAAGGAAAAAGGTGGAAAATCATGGTCAGTTTCTGAGTAGAAACTCTGCTAACATCTCTGACAGACCCTAGAACTATCTATGTACACAGGAACTCCAAGCAGTCCTGTAGGGGCTGAAAGAGCAAGAGACCTGACCTGTGAAGTTCTCACTCACGGGGAAAGGTGGTAATGTGAAATCAGCCAAGGTAATGCGTTCTAGTACAATCTAAGCATCCATAAGAGGAATGTAACTGAATCTACAATTTCCACAGCCTGTTAGTCATATGTCCAGAATGTAATTAATCTAGAGTAAACATGAAAATAAAACGCACACACCTACA